CACCCCCCTGCCCACCCGGGGCATATCGTCCTGAAGGCTGATGATGAGAACGCCCATCGCTGGGAAGAACTAATCAAAAACTTGTTTTGTTGGTGTCCTTGGTTATCTCCTGTGGGGACGGTAGCATTGGTCGGCATTGCGCTGCTCCGTACACAAAGCCGAGACAACAGAGATGGGAACCACTTGCTGGGCTTGCCCTGTGGCAGCACCCGAGAGTACACCACCACACCCACCCCTCCAGAAGGACCAACGGGCTCGACGGGCTCCGTAGGGGCCCTCGGTATTGCTAACGCACGCACCCGAACACACCACCCCGTGGCGGACACCCCGTGTTGGAATCATGGGCCGATCGGCATCCCTTTTCATTACAAAAGGGTTTATCTGCTTGGCCGACATTTGCCGTAGTCTCCCGCGCCGTGTGGTAGGATCCCGTCGATCAGTGGCAGTCGAGGCTGGTGGACAAATCATCAGAGGTACACAACACGCACACTCCCAAGACAGCGAGCAAACTAAACCAGACATCTCACCAACGCTGCTCCACCAAAACTGACCGGTTTATTTTGCTCACCACTTGGCTCCTTCGACCAAGGGGACCCGCCTGTCAGCACGCGCTTTCGACGGCGGAGCTTTTCGGCCGAGACGCCGTGGGATTTGCTTGGTTCCCCTCCCTCGTACAGGTGCGGTGCACACCACCACAGCTGGAGTATCGAGATGAGTAAAAGGTCTGCCTCACAACGCCCACAGATTCGTAGATGTAGAGTGGGTTGTCACCCCATCACAGAGAACTCAATCCAAGCCATGCCGCTGGTCTGCCACCCTGATTGGCATGTTGTCACGAACACACCGGCCTGGTGGCATGATTAGACGAGGGTGTCTCGAACGATAGATACAGCTCCGACGCCAGACACGAAGTTGCTCAGCAGAATGGGAATGGGTGTCCGGCTCGGCTCCGCAAGCGCCATTTGCAATCTGCGATGCCACCGACCACTTCCCCATCTCTCGTCCAACACGACTGGACGCTGGCAGAGTGAGGCGGGCGCACACGGGCGAGAACAGGCCACAAGTAGGGTCCCCCCGCCGGCTGCACCCATGGCAAGCAGGGCCCCTGATTTCTCGACTCGCGGGTCTGGACCCTGCCAAATTCCAGACACGACAGGGCAGGCCCCCCATCGATAGGCGGGCTTGTTCCCTGCCTTCCGGCAGTTGACTTTAAAGAAGAAACAAGACCCCGAATTCCAGAAACGGATTTCCGGTCGCAGCTCGCCCAGCGCCGCAAGTCAACGTCCAGCTCGCCCGTGTGTAGACACACTTTCGCCTGTAGACGCCAGAACAGAACCGGACAATCGAGCAACGTAGACCGTACCCTACCGTAGCTTACCTCCTGTTTCGCTACTCGATCCAGACACTCGCAAGACCTACAGATCGTCCCAGCGTTCCACGACACGGGCCGCCCGCACGACAGCTCCAACGCACGACGGGTGCACCAGCCAATGCACACACGCCGCCTTATTATGAGCAGGTACGTTTGATATCCGGCGCATAGCGTCCCCTCTTTCTTGAATGAAACAAACCACATCATCTAAACGTGCTCTGGTCGCGTCTTTCAGTTTCGATCCACTGTCTCATAGTCACAGCAGCCGCCACCTGTACAAACAGGGACTAAGAAAGACCAACGACCTCGCACATCGTCCTCGCTCGTCTGTCATCATTCTCGACAGATCCAGCCTCAAGACCAGCTACACATTCACAACGTACAATACCCCCATCATGACGTCCGTCGACATCAGCAGCGCCAACTTGGCCAGCAGGAAGCACTCAGCCGACGCAATGGACTGCTCGCCGACTACAAACATCGGCCCGGCCGTGACAACCATCACGGTCAGCGAGGTCACCGTAGATCATGACACCACTACCAGCTTCCCCCGGCCGTATCCGGGCTACTACACCGGCAACAACAACACGACCGTCACGACCACGACGGACCACATCGACGACAAGCATCCGCAACACGTCCTTAGCACCATTAATACCGCTACCGCTGCTAGCAACAGTCACCACCATCACGACAGCAGCGGCCGGCGCTCCACCCCCGACGAAGAGGACGACAACAGCATAGTCGTCAGGATGGCCGTCAACGAGCTGCGCGCCATGGGCGAGACGCTGCGCCGCGCCAACAAGCAGCAGCAGCGCATGATTGAGGAGACCATGAGCCAGTGGCGGGCCGTGCAGCAGCAGCAGCAACAACAACAACAACAACAGCAGCAACAACAGCAATGACAGCAACAACAGCATCAAGCATCGGCGCCAGCCGAGGCGACGATGACAATGTCGCAGCGGGCGACATACGGCTCTCTCGCAAAATTCCGGTTGCTCATATGCGACATGTGCACACAGAGCACACGCATTGTACAAGGTGCTGAAGGTCGCGACAATCGTCTGCCTGATTCTGGGCAATACACACGACGTTGTGAATCCTTTTCTACTTCTTGACCGACTGTGCGGCTCGACGCGGGGTGTACGCCGGTCCACGCTCAAGGGCTAGTTCCAGCAAGCAAGCTAGTGGATGCCGTCGCGGGGTTAATCGGGGAGTAGTCGCGCCCAGACTTTGAGAAACCGGGGCATCGGTTCGAGAGCAGCAGAAGCAGCAACATGCTGTCCTTGCAATGCGCGCGTGTCAACCGCCCCCGCTTCGATCACTGGCCTGGAGTTTCTTCACGCGCAGCTGATTCTCCCGCAGCTGCGGGCAGGGTCACCACGTGCCGCGCAGAGCAAGACTCCAGAGCATGAGGCGGGGTCGAGTGCGATGGGATGGAACAAAGGGGTATATCAGAAAGAAGCCACGAGTTGCCTGATAGTCAGCTTTGGCGGCGGATTACTGATCTTCTGCTACACACGTCCCTTGTCATCGCCACTCTGGACGCCGCGAAAGACCACTGTCCATGGTCAAGGGACTTTCAGGCACTGTGGACCCCCACCGCGAAGCTCGCGCTTGGGAGGGACACAGGAGACCCGGAGGAGGGGGAAGGAGGGCATGCTCCCACCCGTGAACTTTCACAGCCACGAGACTGCGGATGCGGGGGTCGAGATGGAATGTATTGTCCCTTCTACTCGAAACAGGCCTCCGACATAGCGGTGCGATCGAGTAGTCGATAGGACTAGATGCTTGGACGGGGGTGAGGGAGTTGCAGGAAGTTTGGACTGTTTGATCATCGTTGGGGGACGAGTAAAGTGGGCAATTTTGAGGCATCACTCGACACCACGCGTGCATCGTGCTGCTGGTTCTGTTCTGGTTGTCCCCTGCGTGTGGTTTTTGACCCATGTTTTCCCAGGTAGATTATTGAAATATATATGCCAAGTAACGCTTGAATAACTTGTTCCTATGAAACATCACGGCGAAGACGTGACGTGATCAAACGAGCGACTTTTCACCGCAGGCTGCTAACGCCGCCAACATGACGCCTACGGACAGACAGACATTCCCGTCAAACCCATCACAACACCGCCTTCTTCCTCGCCTCCCTTTTACCACAAGACCATACACCATTTTATCTTCCCCTCAGCCACTCTTGCTCTTCCCCGCAATGATCCAGAAGTAAGTGTCGTCCTCGCCCCCATCCACGGCAGTCTCGAGCACGTCGAGCCCGCTCTCCTCGACGACCTTGACCGTGCCCTCGGGCCCCAGCCCGCTCCAGTACATCCAGCTCTGCTTGTCTTGGGCCAGCCAATTGTTGGCCGTGACCCCGTCCGTCGTCTCGGTAGTGACGTTGAGCAGCACCCCGCCGCCCGGGCGCACCCACCGGGAGATCTTGGCTAGCATCTCGACCTGCTCGCGCGGGGGCAGGTGGCAGATGCTGTACAGCGCGACCACGGCGTCAAAGCTGGCCGCGGGGAAGTCGAGGGCCAGCATGTCGCCTGGGTGGAAGTCGACGCGGCCCGGGCTGCCGTGCTTGGGGGCGAGGTTGGCGCGGGCCAGGTCGAGCTGCGTGGTGGACAGGTCGTTGGCGGCCACGGTCGCGGTGGCGTCGCGGGCGAGCAGGTGGTCGAGCACGGGCAGGCCGGCACCGCAGCCGAGCTCGAGGAAGCGTCGGGGTCTCTGCTGCTGCTGCCCGGGCTGCTGGGAGTCCGTGTCGAGCTTGGTCAGCAGCTGGTCGAGGTACTTGATCTTGAGGGGCCAGTGGTCTCTGGTCCAGTCATTGTACTCGGTCGCGATGGCGTCATACGAGGCCTTGACGCGGTCCTTGAGCTGATCTGGAACCTCGGGCTGGCTGATGGAAGCGTCGGGGTTGGAAGACATGACTGCTATTTTATCAATTCTTTGTTGGTTTACTAGCTTTTACTGTTGTTGATAATCTTGCATCACGAGTCTCAACTGTCACAATGGCTCAGGCATGTTATGTACGTCCTAGAGCTGTGCCTGGCCACAAGCCGTGAATAGTAGATGACACATGGAGTAGATTGTTATGACGCTCCGGCGTCTGATGCCCCAATCCCTGCGTGGCCCCGCACGGCGAATGACTCTCAGCAGGCTCTTTCATGGCTCTGTTTCGGAGGCCGTCCGGGTGAGCGGGCTTGGCGCCGGCGTTTCTTTCGGCTCAGACGCTTGTAGAGTACGGCGAGGCCAATTGTTTTACGCTGGCGAGGCATGTTTCAGCAGGTGAATCACCCGGCCACCGCAGATCTGAGCTGCCCGACGGTGATGCTGCAGAGGCACGTTGCAATGCATGTAATCAACACAATGCACGTAATCGTACAGTGAGTCACGGCCAGCCCGTTTGCAAGCGCCAGATCCGGCAGGTTCCGAGCCACGACAGAGCCGGAGTCGAAGACAACTCAAACAAAGCACACGAATACACGGCATCGCAATATCCTTAACAAAAAATCGCAGCCAGCGCGTGGAAGGCGAGAGGGGAATAGAAAAAAAAAAAAAAAAAAGAGATTGGTCCGCTGCGGTTAATTGACCAGTAGCCGAAAGATATCGAAAAAAAAAAGGGAAAAACAAAGGGTCTGGCCGGGAATTGAACCCGGGACCTCTCGCAAATTGTTGAACCGCTTTCGCAGCTCGTCTCAGGGTGAACCCTAAGCGAGAATCATACCGCTAGACCACCAGACCAGGTTGTGCTCTTTGTTGATGAAAGCCGTTGACGTATGCAGATATATATTGGGTGATAGTTTTCGTGAAACTTCAACTCTTTAGCCGGACAACAACCAGTTATTATCAACACGGCACATTATCGCCAACATCTTCCAGCTCGCTCGGCAGGAAACCATTTTCACTATGCAGTAGTGATTTCTCCACCCGTCCAGTTCTTCAGCACTCGAGGAATAGAAATGTCCAACAGTGAGACACTTGGCGCCAATCTGTCTCATTGTCGCCTTCACATACACGCTCACTACCCACACCCACGAAAAGTCTCGGTTTTTAATGCATTCGTTGGAGACCGTTTCCTGGAGGTTTGCAGTTAGTATTTTTGTATAGCTAGTCGTTACACACATATGGAATTCAATTGTGATACACTTTAATTGTTCTAATTGTGTAGAGGCTACGCCATTATTCCACAACTGACTCAAAATTTAGCCGTTCACCACCACGAAGCAAGTTGCGTCATGATGCAGGCTTCACAGACAATGTGAAACAAAGTTATGAGCCTAAGGTCATTTTTTTTACTTCAACTCTGTGAGTGATGCTGACCCTAATCGTGGGTACTACTTCACGCCCGCAATCATCAAATCCGACGGCAGTCGCACAAGCATGTGAAGTACGAGCATCCGGGACCGGTACAACCGCACTATAATTACCAGATAGCACACACATCGTTAGCATGAATGAAAATTAAAGACATCAAGTGTCTCTGCCGTGGCAAGCAAGTACATTCTTGGTATTTTGTAGAGGAATGATGGGAGTATGAGACTTACCCGCGAGTAGGCGCAGTTCCAGTTGAGGTATCCGCAGTCGCCCTTCTGCTTGCAGCAGATCCGCTCGCAAGACGCGTTGTCGGCACAGGCTCGTGCTTGCTATTTGCGGTGATTGATGAATGGGTCAGCCAACGGCCGGATCCTGGGTAACATCACACCGGGAGATCTAGGAAGGTCAGGGCAGTCGAGGAAAACGTACGAGGTTAGGTGTATCGCCGCGGGGCGAGAACTCTGGTAGAGCGGTGGTGAGGGTTGCTGCGGCAGCCAAGACGGCGACAATAGAGAGCTTCATTGTTTCTTCTTGTGATTGAAGTTATCGGTATAGGCGGGTCTCGTTGCTACTTTTGTTCATTCGAATTGAGCTGTTTTGAAGGATGGCGTGACTTGTGACAGAGATGGCAACAATTGTAACATCACATAGAAAAACGGCGGGACATAGCTTTATCATCATCGCGAACTCGTATATCAGGGTACACTACCCACGAGTCTGCATGTCCCGTACGAGGTCGGACCCATGTCTCGTCATGCCCGGTAGTCAGGCGCGTGCACAACGTGCAGTCGGCATGCTCGGTGCGTACCGCGAGTCTAACGCAGCCGAGCTGGTGTAACTAAGCATACCCCAGGTTGTGTCTGCCCCCTCCCCTAGTGCCGTTGTCGGAGCATAATTGGCTGGGATGTCCACCATGTGGCGAAGTCGTGGAGGCGATCGATTTCGAGATGCGGGGTGGTGTTGGCTAGCGAGCCTGTGCTTTCCCCGTCTAAAGACCTGCAGTGTAACGTTGACGAGTTCAGCTGAATGCATAATACGCAAGGGTTTCATTGGATGGCTCGGTAGAGATTAGCTTCTGAGACGGAATAGGCCACGACAAGATGTGCTCGAGTACGGAGAAGAAAGTGTGGCTTGTCTAGCTCCGCATTAAGACTTTCTGATGCACGAAATAGAGCCTGCTATGGGCAGGAGGACTGACCTCATTCGTGCGTTAAATTATATGGGCAGCCGTCGTGCTGCAAGCTTCGGAAACATCGAGCCCCATATACCGACATCCTCGGCATGATGCAAGACCGAGGAAGCTGGGTTGAGACCCGCGTGATCATGGACACCGCGCCGAGCTGATGGCGGTGTGGCGATCGACAGCTGTTCGATCGCGTTTTCCGCGTGTAGGCGCAAGGTTGTCAGTCATGATACGTCATGCATGTCGGTTCCTAACTCGCTGTGAAGTGTGCCGCAGGTTGGGACGTCCCTGTGCCTGATTTCATTGCCCTGTCTCACCCAATACTCGATTCCACACTTCCTCGATCCAGGTCTCGACCGGCACCTGTGGCCAGGCTGTCCGCCGCAGCCAGCACAGTGCCTCCTCCCAGCTCATTTCTCTCGATATCAACAACCTCCCACAACCCACCCCTCTGGCCGAGAAACCGGGTTGTTCTTCCAGGCAACAAGAGGACAGCTCCTGCTCCCAGAGAGCGAGCAAACGACCCTTGAGTTTCCCCCAGAGACATTCTAGATCCGGCAGGCAAATCCACAACCTCGCCGACGCCACGTCCCTCTCTGACGCTTTATATATCGCGACGAGGCCCATGAAGATGATCCAGAACTGCAGGTCCTTCTCGGCACCTATATGTGTATACTCACTGTGCCGACACGGACAGCATCCCGGGTCCGATCGTGGGGAGTTGTGTAGTGGTATCGTACCCCCTCGGCTGCTCTGCGACCAGGTCTTGCACGCCCCGGGACTGCTATGAATACTACTCGTGGTGCTATCGTCGCGACTGCTCGGAGTCTCCCGTTCATCAGAGACATCCCATGCCGCCACTCGCGACGAGGAAGGCGCTGCGGTTGAGGCCGCCGGGCTCGAGCCACTCGAGTGAGAATTCACATCTCCTGGTGGCTTCGCCATGCTGCCTCTGGTGCCATCTTTGTTGTTGTTGTTGTTGTTGTTGTTGTTGTATTCCGTCTCGCCAATGCAGGACGCAACCCATCGGAGGAATCGGGGATCGTACTCTGCCATACCGAGCACGCAAAACATGTAGACACCAACTGCCGCCGAAAAGGGCGCCCAGTGTGCCCGCACCTGACGAGTTTGTGACGGCGATGATTGGCTTGACGTAGATGACGACGGCAACGACGATGCCGCCGTAGAACTCGCTCTCCCCGAAAGGCTCCGCACGTGCGCCTCGATCATGACACACCACACGTCCGTCGCGCTGCCCTTGTCCCAGAGCATCTCGACCCGGCGGCAGCTCGTTCCCTCCTCGCTTCCCCTCGGAGATGCACGGAGTGCGTCGACGTCGTCGGTCATGCCCCTCATCGCCTCCATCAAAGTAGCCGCGTCGATGGCCACTAGGCGTGATACGTGCGCTGGGACGGGGCTGAAGAAGTACGGCACCATGCGGATGGTCTCGAGGCGCCTGCGCAACCCTTCGCGCTCCTCGGCCGCGTGTCCCTGCCGGATCAGGCCGAGCGCGGCTCCTTCTACTTCGCAGGTCGTCGTCGCTGGCGTCATCCCCCCCTCCAGTGTCGGAGTGGCTCGTGGTGATGAAGGGCGATGCTTCGTTTTCTTGTGAGGCTCTGCACTGCAGGGAGCTCTACGGCTCCTTTGGTGGGTTTTTTTCTCTTCCTCCGCGCTGGCCGTATCCCTGACCCGCTGCTGCAGAATGGTGACAAAGTAGTAAGCACTATGACGCTATTAGCTTTCAGGTGACGTCTCATCTGTGGAAACGATGCAATTATATGGCAATATCACAAAAGAAGCACACTTACAGCATGACGTATCGCTCACTGAGCTCTCTCTCGAGGCACCATATGCTAATAGGCGCTGGATTGGCTGTGAGTGTGGCCATCAGGCCGCTAATGTGTGTCTGCGCGGCGAGCATGTTGCCCTGACACGCCTGGTCATTGTCATCGGCCGGCCCTTTATGTTAGCCAGACAGGCATCAACCACACGATCATTGGCCCGCTTCTCTCGCAGCCGGCTCTGGTTGATACTCGTGGAAAGGGGGGCTCACCTCGACAATCGCCAGCGTGCAGACAAGCCGGACCCCATGGACATGGTCGATTGTCCCGGCCTCGCGCAGGTCTTCGTTGATGATCTGGATACTCTTGAGCTTGTGAAAGAGTCCGGTTGTACGATACGTCTCTACGTCGCCAGTCATCCAGGTGTAGTGCGATATGGCGACCAGGAGAGCGCCGCGAAGGGCGTTGGGCTCAGCCCCCCGCGAGCTTGAGGCTGTCGAGTGAGAGTCAGCATCATGACCAATCATCCAAGCTCGGCGGCCTAGAGAGGTACTGCGGACCGCCTACCAATCCTCTAGCCCAAGACTCTTGACATTGAAAAGCATCGAGTCGGTGTTGCGGACTTTGCAAAGATGCGTTAGCTAGTGCCCATCTCGCTGGGGCGGTCTGCATAAACATACAGTAGTGCAGGAGCCGCTTCGAGTTGTACGGCATAGGGCACGGCAAGGCGTCAAAGGGGTCAACAGCCGCACCTCGGCTCAGCGTCCTGGACGACGTGAGGCGCGGTGGGCTGGCTGCGACAATGGCCCAGGGCGCCATGCAGCCCGGCAGCGCAGCCGAGACCCCCTGCCGGCGGTCTCGAAGCGGTATGGTAGGTGCAGTATATATGCAGGTTCTATGCGACTTGACACACTTTTGACTGTGTAATCACGCAAGAAGGTGGACGAGAGACGTGTCAGCAGAGAGCGCCTGCGCCAAAACAAAGCCTCTATCAGGGGAGATCAGGCGGCGGCGCACCCGAGAGCCTGGAGCTCCACGTCAGCGGCGACGAACGACAAAAGCTCGTCTAAATCACCTAGATGGGAAGAGGAAAATGTCCGATAAAGGCTAGGACGCCTGACATACCACGTTGGCCGAGCCTCGTCACAGCGCACATGTCGCTGGCGGCACGTCTGGCAGCCCGTACGGCTGCGTGAAGTGCCTGTGCGGTGCCTGCCGGTGGTGCCGCAGTTGCTGCCGATCGACACCTGGAAAACCAGCTCCATTGCTGCAAAAGAACTGCTGATAATAAGACAAATAAGAGGCCGAGGATGGGGGAGTAGTGAGATGAGAATGTGAAGACTGTTCAGGAGTAGGCTGCTGACAGAGTGCCCCAACAATTAGACGAGGAGAAGACGACAGGGGTAATTACACACCGAGAAAAGCTCTCTAGCCAGTTTCGGACGTATAGACGAGGCCCTCTT